AAAAAATGAAAATTCACAGATGGAAGTATCTTTCAAATATGAAAATGTTTCAATACAAATAATTTCATCACATGTCCATCTCATGATGCATATTATAGATCCCATATTCCATAAAATTCTGACTTTTTACATATTGAAATGTTTTTGCTTTCATTTAAGTTTTCAGTGTTGCATTAAAATATAATTCATACAAATAAGAACATTTGGGATCTCCTTAAACTTGGCCCCCAAGGCAAAGACCTCCCTGGCCTCAGCCTAGTCTGTAGCATGTGTTATGTTGCAAAGAACACAAATGAGTTCTGAAGAATAGAGACCCTGTCTTCATGGAGAGGTATGAGAATAGCACTCTCCACACAGAAGGTCCTGAGAGGGGAAGAAACTTGGCAAACTGGCAGGTCACTGAGGAGCCCCAAGCAGAAGTCTAAGGGACAGAGGACCTGCTAAGAAACGCCTAGGCAGCAGCAGGGGTCAGGGTGATCACTTCAGCCACCTGCAGAGTTCACCAAAATCCCAATTCTGAGGTTGAGGCCAGGGGTGAAGTTTGCTTAGCATGTGGGAAACTCTGGCTTAAATCAGAACTGTACAAAAAAGGGGGAGGGGAGTGTCATGCTCTCCCTCACCAGAGCATTACCTCGCTCTGTGGGCAGAGATCCAGACTACAGGGTTTACACAGCTACCCTTGGATCTTCACACCCACAGTTCTAGTATTGGAGCTGCAGATGTTGGCTGAGGACAAGTACAATAAGCTTGTAGGATCTGTGAAAAGGCTTTAAAGAGTTACATAAGGTAGAATGTGACTTGTTTGTGCTGTTATTTATTTCTATTTTTTCCTACTTTGATAAGGTCTTCTATGTTGTGCAGGCTGACCTCTAAATTGCAATCCTCCTGCTTCAGCACACAGAGATACTGGAATCACAGGCTTGTATTATGAAGCTCAGATGCTTGGTTGTTTTAAGATGACACTGGTTACATCATGAAGAAAAATAATACAGAAAAGCCATTGACCATCAACCACTTATTAGTACATATGCTTAACATGAAACCGAATCTAAACAACAAAAATTAGTTGATTATTAAGAACATAGTGTGTGCCCAGGTACTAAGCTATATAATTCAACTATGCAATTTTAATTTCTCCTCAAGCAACTTTTTAAATTTTGGGGGGTGTTGTAAATGGACACAATTCCTTTATTCAATTTAATTTATGTGGTGCTGAGGATCGAACCAGGCAAGTCCTCTACCACTGAGCCACAACCCCAGCTCCTCCTCAAGCAACTTTTTAAGAAAGATATTAGTATTGACATATTTCAGATGTGAGACTTAGGTGTGCATAAAGTGAAGTGACTTACCCAATGTCACACACACTCCTTAAGGTGCAGAGTCAAGATTCTAATCCTCTCTGGGTGGGGGTTGCATCAACAATGCTCTACCTCCTCCAGCTTGGAAGAAACCTGTGGTACAGAGGAGGACATTGGTCACCCTATGGGAAGGCTAGGCATCCAGTTTCCCGGAAGACCTTATCCTGTGGCATCAGGATGGATCCACTGGGCTCTGAAATAGCATCAAGGGGCTTTGAGCCTGCAGTGTAAGGTGGGAATCCCTGGGTGAATTCTCCAGGACTGATGCCTGGGAGGTCAGCCTGGGAGGCCACTGTGGGGTTTGTCCCCAAGTTCCCAAGCTGCACACCAGCCTTGCTCAGGGCAGGGAGAGGGACGGGCTGGTCCTGTGAAAGGAAGACACAGAGTCAGTGTGTGGAAGCAGACAGGGCCTGAGGCTGGGAGGCCATGGAGCTCTGCCAGGGAGCCTGAGGCCTCTGCTGAGGGCAGTGAGTGCCTGTGGGTCCAGGAGAGAAGAAGGCCATGTGTTCCTGAGTACTTAGTGCCTGGTGCAGCTGACACACAGGGAAGACGGGGGAAGCCATTGTCATTCCTGTGCCAACTGCTGGGTTCGCCATTTATCCTCTCCTTATGTGGAATCAGCTTATCATAGAAGAACTGAAACCTTTAAACAATATCCACTTTTTAGCATCCACAGGGAACCAGTCATTATGGTTAGTGTTAAGCAATGGGTCATATGTAGACAAGATTCTAAGCAGTTGGTGCAAAGGCCCTGGCCCTGATAGCAACACCTTCCCAGGTATTCAAATATGAATTATGAAAAAAAAAAACTCCTAATGAAGGACTTTGGATATGTAATCAAATAAGATAACATTAATAGAGAGAGGGAGAGAGAGAGAACCACACTGCACGTGGTGACCTCATTGTGGAAGCCCTTCACATAAGCATTTGGAGACAGAGGAAGGCAATCTCATGCCATGGAAGATTGGATGTGGGGAGATTCTCTAGCGCTGGTCTTGGAGGCAGCAAGAGCCACAAAGATGGACAAAGAAAGCTATTATGGAAGCTTCCAGGAGCTCTGTGCTGATGGCCACAAGGAAATTCGAACCTCACCCTACAACTGTGGAAAGAAGACTCTGTCATAGACACCTGAGCTATAGGAAGACCTTGAACATGAGCAAGGAGAGCCGCCCAATGACTGCTCCGTTTCAGTCTTGTCAGGCTGAGCTGAGTACCCAGCCTGTACTCCTGAGGGACAGGCCTGGGAAGGAACACACTGTTCAATAGTGGGGAATTTGTTGCTTAGCCATAGAAAACCAGGATATGCATCCAGCTTCCACATGTCAACAGGAGGATCAGAAAACTCATCACAATAAGCTACCGTCCCACATGGCTCATGGCAGAGAAGACCCTCCTTCCTTTGCTCGCTCTGTTGTGCAGCCAGGTTTTACCCTTTTCTGCCCCAGAGTTCCTCCTGACCTGTCCATACCCACACCATCCAGGCTGAACTCAGGATAATAAATAGTGAAATGTCTGTCGGCATTTGGTATTAAATGGATGGAAATGAAGAACATCGTGCTATGTGAATAGGCCAGACTAGAAAGTCAAGGGGCAAGTTTTATTTCTCATAAGAAGAAACTAGAGTGAAAGAAGGGCAAAGGTGGGGGAATCAGATGTCATAAGGAGAAAGGAAAGCACAGTGGAGATGGTGACATAAATGGAGGGGGAGAGGGGATTCTGGAGGGTGAGGAAACGTGGAATGATTTGGACCACATTACACCATGTGCACGGATACAGGTGTTAAATAACCACAGCAGATTCCAGCTGCATGGATTCCTATCACACACCAATGAAAAAGAGGTGGGTAAATAAACAGGAGGAAGACAAGGGTAGAAGAGGAAGGGGAGTTGGAGAGGAAGAAAGTGAGAAAGTGATGGCACTGGGGACTAAGCTGAAGAAAACTAAATTCCATGCTGTAAGATTACGTCCAAGTGAACCCAGCTGTTATGTAGAACTGTAACGCACCAATGGAAGCATTTAAAAAGTAAGTAGGGCTCCGAAGTAACTTATTGGCAAAAGGAAATCTAGTCACATGGAAAATAGCTTTATAAATAGATTCAGTATAAATATGAAAATAAATTCTTATAATAAGGTTTAAACAGCACGTCAGATGGCTAAGGGTCATGTCATGGGACTCTCACAGTACATGGTGTGAGGAAGTTCATAGGGCAAGGAGAGGAAAAGTGAGTATATCTGCACAAGCCACTTTCAGGAATGTGTCCTACACTCTTGACCTTCCTAAATTCTGAGCTTCTCCTCTTCCTGCCCAGTGAGTTCAACCTCATTTTCTTCATTCCATTTATTTCTGCTCATACAGAAAAAGCACATAAAGAATGGTATCTGAAAAATCTGCTAATAGGCCTCCTTCCCAGTGTTTGGAGGCAAGCTCACACTCAGGAAAGGAGGACAGCCCCCGGGTTTATTGGTAGTAAGCGAATCCATGACAGGGTCCTCACCTGCTCCTGGCCCACACAGGAAGGTTTCACTCTGTAGAGACAGTGTGCCAGGTGGCCTGGGCTGTGGGGAAAAGCAGCACAGCCTCCATGGCCAACACAAAATGGGTTAACCCTCTCTCAGATTTGGAGGAGAAAATCAGAAACTAGTGTCCTGTGCAGTAGACCCAGCACACTATCCCCACTGACCCACTTGGATCAAGACCCAAGAGAAAGTCAATGTTTATGGCATCTCCCTGAGATACAGAGTGGCTAGACGCAGCCCAGCTCTAACATGTGGAATCTATTTATAATTTTGCAATATGAAGGCTGCTGCCCAATGTCCCTGACATGGAACAGCAGAGGGAGGAAGGAATTCTCTATAATCAATGAGAAGAAAGTAACAGATTCCTTCCTTGTCCACTCTGTCCAGGGGCCTCAAGGAGTTCTTCTCTTTGGAAATGTTGGGATGACTTTGAGTGTCACACAAATAGAGATTTCTAGGGCAAGATGTTCAACAGTTTATAGATCTAGCTCCTGGGAATGTCCCACTCGTGGCCTCAGGTGGACATGTCTCTGTTTCTCCCGCCCTTGAGCAGGGCAACCAGATCTCCAGCAGAAACACGGGTTTATTTCCCCCAAGGTTCTTTTGGTCTTTGTGCTCATATTGTGATTACCAGGCCAGGAAAGCACATGTCTCATACTGGACCTGAAATCTGTGTACTTCTCCTGGGAGCACAGACACCAGAGGCTCCTGAACTGGTCAATGGCAGGCTGTCAGTGGGAGAATATTCAAAGATCAATACTCATGATGTGTCACTTGTCATTTTCTCTTCTTAGCTGAGAGGAGGCCAGCAGCATGGCCATTCGCACCCAGACCCAGAGGTTGACCTGCAGGCAACCTCCATATCTTCAGGACTATGTTGTCTTAGGATGGCAGGCCATGGGCTCATGACCCTTCACAGAGCCAGGTTTACATTGTGAGGCCTCCTACCCATGCCACAGGCATCCTGGGCTATTCCTCCAGTGGATTTTACCCAACTATAGAAGGTATCTTATGTACCTAGGCTCACAAGGCAGGCCCCACCCTCCCTCACTCTCTCCACCCAGCACCCACCAGGGCATTTGCATGCTGCTCCCTAGGGAGGGGACTTTCCTGCAAGGCTGACATAAAAGCTCAGCTCTAACCTGGCTCACCAGGACTCCTCAGCTGAGCTTCTCAAAATGAGGCTCCCTGCTCAGCTCCTGGGGCTGCTGCTGCTCTGGATCCCTGGTGAGGACAGAGAGGATGGGGAGGGAGAAGGGGGAGGAAGGGGAGCCCTGGACCCCCATTTTGCCCATGTGTTCTCTGTCCACATCAGGGATGTGCAAGGTCTCTCCTCCAGAATTTGCCTGCACTCTTTAGATCGGTGTGAGACAAAAACATCCCAGAATGAACAAGACTTTTGGTACGATAAAAATTGTCACAGGAAAATAGAGGGAAGTTGGTAAATTCTTCACAGTCACTTGTGGCTTAGAACACTTGATTCTTTTCTAAAAAGTAAATATTTTGGCCACACAAATCAAAATCACAAACATTATTTCTATGGAAATATACAAAGTAATATAAATGTGTCTCATAATACTTGACAAAAACTTTATTTTTCTGTTTTTCCAGGAACCAGTGGGGATATTGTGATGACCCAGACTCCTCTCTCTCAGCCTATCACCCCTGGACAGTCAGTCTCCCTCTCCTGCAGGTCTAGTCAAAGCCTCCTACACAGTAACGGAAACACCTATTTGTATTGGATTGTGCACAAGCCAGGCCAAGCTCCACAGGGCCTAATATATTTGGTTTCCAACCGGTACACTGGGGTCCCAGACAGGTTCAGTGGCAGTGGGTCAGGGACAGATTTCACACTGAGAATCAGCAGGGTGGAGCCTGAAGATGCTGGAATATATTACTGCTATCAAGCTAAAGAGAACCCTCCCACAGTGGTGCAGCCCCGAACAAAAACCTCCGTGCCTGGGTGGCCCAGCTGCCACATGAGCTGCTGGTCTGGGCAGCAGCCCAGCAGATTCTCTGCCCTGTGAAAGTAAGGTGCTGAGAACTCAGAGAACAGGCGCAGCTGAGGGCTGTGGACCATGACTGCCTGGGCCACAGCTCAGGCCACACCCATGAGTGGCCCTGTCAGGTGCAGCAGCCTGGCCTGGCATGTGGAGGACAAGCACAGAGGTGTCCAGGGACCTTCTGAATGAGCAGACAGGATGAGTGTGAGCACTGCAGGAGGAGCAGGACCTGCGCTCTGGACAGGACTATGGCAAAGAATCAGAGGACTTTAAATGGAGTGGCAATTCATCTTTTGCCCAGAAATTTATTTTATGCAATTTTGTAATAAACTATGAAAATAAAAATAAATAAATAAATAAAATATATGAGGACAGCTGACAGAAAGTAGAGAAGATGACCACAGGAGGAGGGAGAGCAGGGAACCACTTACAGTGGACTTCTCCAGAAAAGCTCGTCAGAAGGCAGGGTCTGATGAAGGATGAAGACATAGAGAGACAGAGAAAGAGAGAGAGGGACTTCTGTTTGAGGGGGGTTGAACTGCCGGGTGAAGTGTCTAATACTGGAAGGACTCAAGTGGAAAGAGAATACTTGTCATACAGGAGACCCTGAGGGCAAAGGATAAAAATTGATATTTTATATATTTGCAAAGGCACAGGGAAATACTAATTATCAGAGTGTGGAAGTCACCAGATTCTCCTTTGAGGATGAAGACTAACGGTTGGCTCAGTCATGTGATCTGTCCATGGAATCATGCAGATCCCTGTCACCTGAAAACTCTTGTGCTGTCCCCAGGAGACCTGCCAAGCCTTGTGCTTGGTGACTCCCAATAGATGAACAAATAAATAAATACCAAAAAAAAAAAAAAAAAAAAAAACATTCCTTATCTTCTCCCGGGCCCTGCAAAATCTCCAAGGAATCAATCAATAATTGTGACCTGTCAAGAGAGAGGAGAAAGGAAAGCTGAAGGATTCAAAGGCGGAAACAACCAGGGCAGCAAAGACTTGCTGACCCTCAGCCTGGTGGAGGTTTGGTCTGAGGCTGAAGCTCTTGGGAGGAGCACTGTGGTACTGCTATAGGAAAAATCTGCCACATCCTCAGCCTGGAGATGCTGATGGGGAGAGTGAAATATGTCAGTGATGCACTGTCCTCGTGGGACCCAAGTCTCCCAAGTTGATTCTCAGGAGATGAGCAGTCAGGGAGTTTGTCCTGGTTTCTGCTGGTGCCAGGCACAGTTGTCATTCTGGATGGATAAGAGACTCTGGCTGGACTTGCAGCTAATGGGGACCAGATCTCCTGCAGATACAGCCAGGGAGTCTGGGGAATGAGGCATCTTGATGTCCCCACAGGCACCTGCAATAAGGAAAATCAGAAATGGACCATGATCACACAGACAAACACACAGACACACACACACACACACACACACACTCATATACACACACACTCAAACACATACAACCTTTTTCACATACACACTGGAACATTTCATTTGAATATCACTTTCTATCAGTATTAAAAATCAGCACAAAATTAGGTTCATATTGGAAGTAGTCATTATTTCCCATCATATCTTAAAAATTAGCTTGTCAACTCGACAAACCTATTAATTTGAATGAACTATCACCAGAGGCTCAGAGATACATGAACACCTGTGGCTGAGAAAATATCCTGCTTCCTCTGCCTGACTTTGAGCCCAGGTCTCATTGCAAAGTCCACATTTATAAAACATGGGCAACAGGACTGGCCTGGCAAGGGCCTCGGTAAAGCCATCAGCAAAGTAGTAAGCAAATAGCCTGGAGTCTGGGTGGGGGAAGTATGCGATGTCATTCAAGACCTGGAAACAGCAGAAAGTATAGTTTGGGAAACAGAAAACACAGAACTCAACACAGAAGATCAAAGACAACAAATAATTCAATGATGGAAGGATAGACTTAGTTTAAATCAAAGAGATGTTCATACTTTTAATTATACAGAAATGTTAGGATGAGTACATAAATTGAAATATATATTTTATATATATATATATATATATATATATATAATGATATATATATATATATATATATATATATATAGAAAGATAGATAGATAGATAGATAGATAGATATTTAGACAGAGAGAGTTCAGAAATGTGAGAAAATATATTCTAATATGTTGACTTACAGAAATGATAGGCTATATATACAGGCTGAAATACCAGATAGATAGATAGATAGATAGATAGACAGACAGACAGGGTTCAAAAATGGTAGGAATTATATAGAAGTGAATTGAGTTTTTCAGAAGTGACATCTAAAATCAAGAATTCTTGTGTAATAAAAAAAATGCTTGAACAACAACAAAACAAAGAAAAAATGAAGAGATAAAAGGAGGGAGGAAGATGGAGGAAAGGCTAAAAAACAGGAGACAAAGGGAAATGACAACCTTGGGGCCAGTTTCCATCCCCCATGACCAGGACAGGCCTGAGCTGGGGCCACCTTGGTCCTGAGGCTCTGAGAGCACTGCACACACCAGAGCTCAGGACCTGGCTCTGCAGCCACAGCCAGAAGGCAGCCCAGAACCCACACTTGAGAGCCCTACAGGGCCCCATTCAAGCCAGGGGTCGGGCTCTCAGCTAGGGTCAGTGTGACCAGGCCCCTGGACACCATCCTCCTAGGACTGCCAGGACTGCAGCAGGCTCTGAGGAAGCAGAGAGGGGAGGGAGAAGCAGGACCCCTGGGAAGTGGGGCTGCCCCCCACCTGCCAAGGCTGCTATTCCAAGGTGCATGTTGGAAAGGGATAGGGCCACCAGCCTGCCTCAGTTACAGCCTCACTGCTGAGCCACATGTGGAGCCTCTGAGGAGGCAGGGCCACCCCAAGCTTTCTGGATTCCTCACAAATGGTTTGGAATGCCTATGAGACCACAGAGCTGGAGGATTCTGCATCCAAAATCAGAATGATAACTCAAGTGGGAATGAAAAACAGAAATACTGGAGTGGAGAGTTCTGCCCAAATGTCAGGTTTGAAATTTTGAAAGCATATTGAAAAAACAATTTTTTTTTTCACATGATGGGCCAGGACATGGAACTAAAAAAAAGATTAAAGCACATCAATGAGCTAAATATTATTGACACTGAAATAAATTTTATATCCAAAGAGAATAAATTAACTTACTGGATAATTTTAGCATTAAGCCATTAATATTATTGACAACCAAATAAGTTTTTGTTTTCTCATTTCTTCTCTATTTTTTTTTTACTGCAAACAAATACTGTGATGACAATACTTTCTCAGTTACAAAGTATTAAAATAAATTCTTGTAATCAGATTCACACTTCACCTGGGACTGCTCAGTACTGCAACATGAGACCACACAGCCCAAGGCTTGAGGAACTTCCTAATAACCCAGGGAAAAATGTGAAAGATCAGCAAAACTCCCCCAACCACTTCCTATCCAGTCATCCTACCCTCTGGCCTATGTCAAACTCTAAATATTTGCTTTATTTTTCCTCAAAAGAGCGCCAACTCATTTTGTTTCATTTCATTTACTTCTGCTCATTCAGATAAGGCAGATGGAGAACAAGGTCTGAAGAATTCAGAAATAGCACCAGGTAAGCACGCCTGCTCCTCACAGTGTTTAGAGCAAAGCTGCTCACTCAGAAAAATAGGGGGACAGCCACAGACATTTATTTATAAGAGAAACCATGGCTGCAACCATAGATTCTCATGGCCTGAACCCTAAGTTTCCACCCTGCGAAGAGGGTGTGTCAGATGACCGAGGCTCTCTGGTAACACAGCTCAGCCTTGTTGGACAGAACAACATAGGCCCAGTCTCTACCAGCTTGGGAGGAGGAAGTCTGAAACTAATGTCCCTGAGCAGTGACCCAGACACCTTGCTCAGTGGGACCCACTGGAGCAAGGCCCAGAAGAATCTCAGTGCAGATGGAATCACCTGGGGACATGAGGACTTGGAACCAGTCCTATCCTGGCATGGGGAATTTCCTATTAAAACCAAAATGTGTGAAATGTGTTGTCCAGTGTTCTGATAAGAAACAGCTGATGGAAGAAGGAATTCTCTATCATGAAAGAGAAAGAACTAACATAGAACCCTCCCTTGTCCACTAAGTCCATATCCAGGGACCCCGGGAGGTTCTTCTCTTGGGAAATATTGGGATGTCTCTGATGTGTCACATACATGGTGATGACTAAGACAGAATATCCACAAGTTTATTGACCAAGCTCCCAGGAGTTTCACACTCACTGTCTCAGGGGACACATCCCTTCTCCTCTTGCCTTGAGCGAGTTGACTGACTCTGTAGTGGAAACAAGATTCAGCTTCTTTTGACATTTGTGCTCTTATTTCTTTCACTAGGCCAGAAAAAGGTGACATTTAACACTGTACGTGATGTTCTTGTATTTCTCCAGGTAACAGTAGACACCAAAAGCTCTGAAAGTAGCTCAACTGCAGGTGGGGCTGGAAGAAATGCAAAGATCAACACTTGTGAGGTGGCATTTGTCAAATTCTCTTCTTGGCTGGCAGAGAGCCAGCAGGGTGGCTAGTCCCCTTTCAGAGGCTGAACTGCAGGCAACCTCCATATGCACAAGGTGACAGACTCTGGGCAGCATGACCTCAGAGCCAGGTTTCTATTGGGCTACTGCCAATGCCACAGTCAGCCGGGGCTGTTTCTCTACTGTATTTCCTCCAAATAGAGAAGACATCTGATGTCCCTGGGATCACAAGGAGGCCCCTCCCTCCCTCACTCTCCTCACCCAGCACCCACCAGGCATCTGCATGCTGCTCCCTGGGGAGGGCTTTCCTGCAAGGCTGACATAAAAGCTCAGCTCTAACCTGGCCTTGACTCACCAGGACTCCTCAGCTCAGCTTCTCAAAATGAGGCTCCCTGCTCAGCTCCTGGGGCTGCTGCTGCTCTGGATCCCTGGTGAGGACAGAGGGGATGGGGAAGGAGAAGTGGGGGAGGGGAGCCCTGGGCCCCCATTCTGTCATGTGTGCTCTGTCCACATGAGGGATGTGCAGGTCTTATTCTCCAGGATGAGGCAGATGTGGTTCATTAATGTGAGAAAGAAGATTCCAGAAAGAACAGGGACTTGGGATCTAATCAAGATTTTTATATACAGAAAGGGGATTGCTCTGGGTGAATTCCAGAAAGGCTCTTATACCTTATTAAATTTGACTCCTTAATAAAAATTGAATAACTTTGTTATAAAAATAAAAATCAAACAAAAATTCATTTGTAAATAAAAAAAGATTAATACAAGTATGTCTCATAATACTTCTACATGACTTTGATTTCTCTGATATTATTTCAGGATCCAGTGGGGATATTGTGGTTACCCAAAGTCCTCTCTCAGAGCCCGTCACCTCTGGACAGCCACTCTCAATCTCCTGCAGGTCCAGTCAGAGCCTCCTACACAGTAATGGAATCACGTATTTGAACTGGGTTGTACAGAAGCCAGGCCAGTCTCCCCAGGGCCTAATATATCAGGTTTCCAACCGGTACACTGGGGTCTCAGACAGGTTCAGTGGCAGTGGGTCAGGGACAGATTTCACACTGAGAATCAACAGGGTGGAGCCTGATGATGCTGGAGTGTATTACTGTGTGCAAAGTCTACATGTTCCTCCCACAGTGGTGCAGCCCCGAACAAAAACCTCCGTGCCTGGGTGGCCCAGCTGCCACATGAGCTGCTTGTCTGGGCAGCAGCTCAGCAGATTCTCTGCCCTGTGAGAGGAAGGTGCTGGGAACTGAGGAAACAGGTTCAGCTGAGGGCTGTGGACCATGACTTCCTGGCCCACAGCTCAGGCCACATCCATGAATGGTCGTGTCAGCTGCAGCAGCCTGGCCTGGCATGTGGAGGTCAACACAGAGGTGTCCAGGGACCTTCTGAATGAAACTTCTTTTCATTTTCTTCCAGGAATATCTTATAGTACTGAGCTTAGATGGACTCAGATGGACTGCAAGATGCTGGTGAGTGTGAACACTGCAGAAGGAGCAGGACCTGGGCCCTGGGCCCTGGGCAGGACTGTAGTGCAGGCATTGGGTGGCTATCAGAAACTTCTGGATGTCCCTTGTGCTTCAAATGCTATTCTTTGTGGTGTTAGGGTTCAATCATAATTACAAACACACAAAAGTGATTAATCTGAAATAATTATTAAAACTCATGACAATAGCTTATTAAGTTGGCACTCAATCTTGCATTTCTTTTATTATTCTAGGATCCAGAGGGATATATTAATGAGACAGACTCCACTCTCCCTGCCTGTCAACCCTTGACCACCTGCTTCCATCTAGGGAAGGATAAGAGTTGAGAAAGTCACTCATAAATCACCCAAAGGGTAGAAGGTTTTGCCTGGGGCTCTGCTAGTGCAGGTGAAGTGACATCATGCAGGCTCTGCATCTCTACTGCCTCCATGAATCCTAAAGGTCGTGACTAGATGACCCTCAGGTCATCTCAATGTTCCCAGTGAGCCCACTGTGGCACAGGTAAGGTTCCAAAATAGGTTCTGTCCTCCTCAGATGCCTGGGCATGACTTGAGGGAGATGGTCACTCTGCAGAGCCCTTATGGTCAGGATGAAGGTGATGTTGATCCAAAGGCAGAGCTGGACTGGGAAGGTCAGCAGGAGATGCAGTGGGAGCCCAGGTGCAAACTTCAGGCCCCAGAAACCACAAGGAGGCAGCGTCCTCAAGAGAATTCCAGGGGAATGGAGGGGGTGTCCTCTGCTTAAATACCCAGGCCCTTTTCTTCCCAGACAAGTGAATGTGGTTGAAATCCAATGCATTATAATCATTCAATTCACTAGTATGTGGAAATATTTATATGGAGAATAGAAAAGACTCAATTGTTTGAATTAAAGTATATTTCTGACAAAGAAATTTAAAATATTAGAGTCACAGAGAAAGGAAAGACTATGGAGCAGAAGAAAATATTCCATTTAGTTTGTTTGTTTGCTTTTTCCTAAAAGGCCATTAGGAATCAGTATTCTAAGAAAGAAATGCCAGAGCCTTGTGCAATGGAGAGAAGGAATCCCTATGGGAAACAGGTGAAGTGACATCATGCAGATGGGATGTCATGAAGTTACATCATGCAGGTGGGAAGCCATTCTCACACGTGATTTGAGTTACCTCCCTGGATGGGTGAGAGGTGCTCAGACAACTGTGTCAGAGCCTTCTCCACCCTGTCCCAGGTGCGAGGGCTTGTCTGTGTGGAGGTGTGCCTGGCCACTGACCCAAAGATCAATCACTGACCCTGACCTTGGAATGCTGCCCCCCCTCGACCTTCATTGGATGGGATTTTCCCTTGGATTTTTTTGTTCCCCAATAAAAGCTCACTCCTGGCATGTCCTCTCTCTCTCTCTCTCTCTCTCGCTAGCCTCTTGTGTTAACCTTGCCAATGCATCAGGTGGCTGGAGGCAGGAGTAAGGAGAAGCCATGTCCGGAGCTGAGCATTAAAGGTAACAAGAATATGTCTCTTTAATTTGAAAACTCTAGTTAATTTTTATGCTTTGAAGCTCTTTTATGAAGCTCACATGCTGGTTGCATGGCAGAGTGTTTAAGTGATGGGCACTGGAGGAATGTAAATTAATATTAGCTGCATAAACACTGTATATAATATCTTGCAGAGCTTGAGATGTATTATATCTGGATAACAGGGAAAATGGCATTTACAAAACAAAACAGAATAAATGTAATTAAATATTACAGTCTCATAAAAGTGCTAAAATCAATATTTTAGATTCTAGAAACTGTACAGGGCCCCTGCACACTAGGCACATGATCCGATCCATCACTGACCTTAACCAACAACCAGAATTTTTAAGATTTTCTAAGCAGTGGGAGTAATAGTGCCAGCTAGATTATAAACTAGTGCATAATTGACAAGGTACCATGAGGAAAAATAATAGTTAAGAATTATTAATCCAAGGAAAATCAAAAAAGTATCAAAATGGACCATAAAACTGATGCAAAATAGAAAAAATAAATGAAAAGATGCCAGATTTAGCTCCAGATTTAAAATAAAAAAACATTATATATTTAAAGTAAAACTATAAAAATATAAAGTGAGGGAAGTGAATAAAGATAAAAATGATTGATATCAAATCTGAATTCTAGTTAGAATATCCTTATTTCTGGTAAGAGTGTAAGCTGACTGTGAGAATGAAGACCAAACCCCACACCATGCCCAGACCAGCTGAGGACACCAGCTTGGACATCATGCAGAAGACAACAGTGACATTTCATGACAGCAGAAGGTCATGGTTCCAGGAATCTCTTACAGTACTGACCCTAGATGGACCCAGCTGGACTTCAAGTTGCTGGTAGAAGAGAGCAGAGCATACCAGCCAGCAGGTAAGAGCCACCTCCAGCAAAGCCTGAGTCAACTGAAAACTCAACACCTCCTCTGGAGCCCACCAGGGAAGCGAGACCAGGGGCCATCCACTGCCCAAGACTGGGGAGAAAGAGGGCAGATGCAGAGGATCACACTCATCAGAACAAACAGGTGCAGGAAGGAGCCACTAAGAAACAGGGACAGGGGCAGGAAACCTGAACTGTAATTGACAAGTGGCCAGAGACTCAGCCTGGAAAATAGAATAGTTACAAACCCCAGGTCATACCATCACCAGGGAGCTCCTGTAAGCTCTACCTCTAGGAGCTCAGAAGAATCTCTCAAAAAGAGCCCCATAATTTAGCAGGGGAAAGGAAAAGCACCAATTCTGAAATAGGCCAGAGCATTCTGTTCTTCAGAAAGGTCTGCCCTCAGGGGAAGTTGGTTAACCAAGCCCAGCTGAGGGGTCTATCACAACCTGCTGACCTGGAACAAGGAAAACATCCCACTCTGCCCACTGCTAGCCCTGAAGGTGGGAGAAGACAGGCACCAACTTCAGCCACCCCAGCTAGACCCCTGAACAAGGGAGGAAGCTGACAGCCTTCCTGAAGCTCGGAACCCAAGCTGCACACTCAGTAATGAGCCCAGGGCTGGGGAGAGCTCAGAGGAGCAGCACTGCCCAGCTCATGGGACCCCTGAGCTCAATGAGAGCACACAGAACAGGACAGAGAACAAGTCACAGGACCAGGGAGCATTTCCTCTCTTTACCTCCACAGGATCAGAGGCCTGGTCCAAGCAACCCCTCTTACCCAGTGGGTCATGTTTTGCTGTCAGGAAAACAGTGTGAGGCACTGAAATCCCAAGGAGCCCTGTGAAGAGACTGAGCAGCATCAGAACCGGAACCAGATCCAGCAGGAATTATGGACCCTCACACAGAGGAGTCAAGACTCTGTGCAAAGCTCTATGAATGGGAAAAACTCTTCACTGGACATTGCCCTTCACCATGGCCTGTCTCTGAGCTTCACCATAAAGATCCTGGAAACAACTGTCCTTGGTCACCATGCTCAAAATTTGCATTCAGTTCTGTTTCAGGCTTCCCCATTCAAGGTGCTACCCCACGGTGTCACTGAAACTTCTGCCCAATATCACCTGAGACATCCACACTGCCCAGTCCAGTGTCCGCACCAATCCTCATCCTACTAGACCCACCACTGTCACTTAGCACCTCAGAGCACCCTCCTCCTCCAGGCACTTTCTTCCTGAGCCTCAGGACATCACTCTCTCCTGCTGCTCCCCCTCCCACTGCCCCTTCCCAATCACCTTCCTGGTCCTCCCTCTCCACCTGTCCCAGAACTCAGGCCCTGGGCCTCTGCTCTGTGCAGCCCTCCCTGCAGTGGTCATAAGAGCTCAGTCCCCAGGGCAGACCTCACCCCTGAACCCCAGCCTCTAACACTCTGTTGGCTACTTGGCAACACACTAATGCACATGGCCAGCCCCAACATCTAGAGCCACATATCCATCTTGCTCCCAATGTCACTGTCCCCACTGTCTCCTCTGTCAGGACAAATAGCAACTCCACCCTGCTAGCTTCTCAAAGTAAGATCTCAGAGTCATCTTGAGACTCCTTCTCTCACATCCCTTGACCTACCACAGCAGGTTGTTCACCTCCATCTCCAATATACACCCCTCACTGCTCCCTCCAGGTGCAAACCACAGGCCACAGAAAACACAAGCAGGCAACATCCTGGGGAGAGTCCCAAGTGAATGAGGGAGGTTTCTTCTTCTTTCTGACCCTCCCCCCGCCTGCCCACAGAATATGTCCAGGGAGAACCCCAGCCTGGCGTCCAGCACTCAGCTTCAGTCTGGTCTGTTAAGGGGTCTCCATGCTCAGCCCAGGCTCAGCCTGATTCTCTTCTCTATGCTCCTCCATTGATGTTCACCTGAAACCCAACTTTGAAATACTTTTTTAAGAAGTGTGAGGTATCAATGCCTACAAGATTATAAATGGGTGTATAATTAATGAGTTATCATTAGACACAACAATTATCAAGTAATAATATAAAAAATTAAAAAACGGGGAAATAGAACTGAAATCTCCAAACAATATCCACTTCCAAATGCCATCAGCGATCCATCAGTACTTGTTAGTGATAAACAAAGGTAGTATTGGACAAAATATTGCATTGATGGCCCAAAAACCCTGTCCCTGGTATCAACACATTGCAGGTATTCAAGTAGTAATTCAGTATCTTCCGTGAAGGATTTTGCAGCTGTAATGAAATAGGGGCCTTTTAGAGAGGGAGAGAGTACCAGAATGCACCCCCTATTGTGGAAGCCCTTGAAATCTGGGTAGAGTCAGAGGGAGGCAAATCTCATGCCAGGGAAGATTGGATATGGGGAGATTCTCTAATGCTAGTCTTGAAGATGCAGGAGCCAGACTGTAAGTAATTAGGGCAGCTTCCAGGAGCTCTGTGCTGATGGCCACAGGATATTGGGACCTCACACTACAACTGTGAAAGGATGACTCAGCCACAGGCACTGGACCTGGAAGAATACCCTGAACTTCAGCAAGGAGAGCTGCCGACTTACTGCCCCATTTCAGTCTTCTCAGGCTGAGCTGAGGACCCAGCCTGGACTCCTGAGGGACATGCCTGGGAAGGAACACACTGCTCAATATGTGGGAATTTGTAGTTCAGCCACAGAAAACTAGGAGAGATGTCAATGAACCAGGTATTACAAGGAAAATCAGAAATCTAAATACCAGCAGCAGTTTTCCCATGTGGCTCATGCTTAATCTGCACTGTGGATGGTTCTATGAACTTTAGCTGTACTATTTATAAAAGCTGCTGTGCAGTTACTTCTGTGTACATGTGATGTGCATATTTCTATGAGTAGATATGTGTATAAGTAGGGATTCCTAATATACATACATCAAGTATTACACATGTGTGTAAAGTGTTTTCAAATTTTTTCCACCACAACTTCTTTTTCATCTAGGGGAACATCACAGGCTGCTTATATGTAAGTGTAGATTTCTTAATTTGATAAGAGCTTTATTATAACCAAACTGATTACACTACGAATTTATCTTTTCACACCCCGTGAATATTTAGTATACACATTATAAATAAATTACTAATAATATTAACAATCATGTCAGACACGTCACTCCCAGAATATTAATTTCAAAACACCACTGAGAAGCAATGGCAGATGGTGGACCAGAGGAGGCTCATCCCACTTGCTCTGCTGTTTGGAACTTGAATGATAGGGATACAGTTCACAGTGAGGTGGGTGCTCAAAGACAACCATTAAATATCACTAGTCAGAGACCCAGAGAAGTCCCAAGAGAGAGGGCAGTGAACAGAGGATGGAAGCAAATCCATTGACCCCTGTATGGACAATGCTGTTGGTCACCACAGAGCCAGGCCAAAATGAGGAAAGAGCAACACACAAACACACACACACACACACACACACACACGACACAAAAGTGAGCTCTGTGGTTCTCACCTTCTGAGTGAAGAACTGCAGTGCAGGTCCAGCTCCAGGTTTATGACCCTCTGGTCCCTAGGAGCGCTCAAGAGGCCTAAACAGACACTTCCAGTCTGTCTGCACAGTCTTACCACGTGACCTAAAGCCACCTGAGGATTCACAATCACAAGATGGTCAGGAAATAGCAGACCCAGGGGGATTCAACTCAGAAGTACAGGGGGGACTGTGGTCTGCTCCTCCTTGAATCCTGTAGCAGGAGAATGACCTCCTAAAACAATGGGAGAAATTGTCCCTGCAGGTATGATCACATTGTGGGCAGGAGAGTGACATTCAATCAACTTTGGAGCTCTGTGGTGTGACAACCCACTGAGAGGAATCAGGGAGTTGGACCAGATGGACATGAGTCCATTAGGGATGGAAATGTGGAGACACATATTTTGGTGGTGGGCAGGTGACAGGTAACCTGCATGCAGCTTCTTCCCAGAGTGATCTCACAGCCCTCCCCAGAAATGGAACCATGGGGAGACACAAAAGCCCAGACCCCAGCTGAGATGGATATCTCCTCAGTCCCAGGGGTGCAGTGATGTAAATATTCTGGAGCACACACACCAAGCATGGCTCTAAATTTCCATGTAGAACAGTCCCCAGCAGCCAGAACCGCCCAAATGGATCTCTGCTTTAAATCCACTCAGGAAAAGCAACAACCTAAGATGTCAAGAAAAAATCCCCACAGAAGGCACCTCCAATTCTGTACAGAGAACAGAGAGCTAGAGAGGCCTTTCAGCTGGCTCCCCTTGCAATCTCTTCACCATGGGGAGGGAGAACATCAGAAAGGGAGGTTTGGTTTAATATGGCCCAGCCCTGGCACCCTCTGCAAGGTGCACAGCCCAAGGAGAAGCAGACAGAAGGACAGTGTGGAGCAGATGTAAACACTCAACTCTAGCTACACCCCTGGAAACAATTAAACATTTTCAATTAGAATCGTCCTTTTTTTCATTGTCTTTTTAAATTATGAATGTTTTAACTGTTATTGTGGCTACATTTGCTGATTGATCCATCTATGTACACGTATAATATTGTTGTAGGGACGGACGAGGCTGGACACTAAGGAATAGCAGGAAGCAGGTTTATTGGCTGTGGGGTTCAGAGGTGGCTCTTGCCTAAGGATTCTTCCTCTGAACCCCGAGTTCAGAAATGTTCAGAACTCTCTGGCCAGTGCTTGGGGGAGGGTAGAAGTCCCCAAAGAAGTAGTGGTTTTTCTTTTTCCTACTGTCCTTGGCAGTTAACCCAGGCTTGGACAAAATTAAATCAAGGACACTGAGAAAAGCAGTGCCCAGGAAGAGGAGAGGTGTTCTCCCTTCTCCTTCCCTCTGGTTTTCAAGGATCCCCTGTTCTCTGAAGTGCAAAGGCTCCATGAAGCCTGGGTGCTCTTTCTTACCACACTTTGCTTTAGGAACGTGTGTCCTACCTGAAAACTTTTTTCAGAATTTTTCCTGATGTTCTAAGAGCAGTCAAGGTCAGGGTCTCTGGAGGAGCTCAGTTAAGATTTTCTGTGGAGATGGGGGTTGCCACTTCAATATGTTTCCCAGGTTTTGTCCCAATTGCATAATTTCTCTCCCTTCTGTAACCCTTTACTCTTTCTTTGTGTTTTTCTTCTTTTTCATTATTTTGTGGTTTGTTTGGGGTTTTTGTTTGGTTCTGTTCTTTTGCTTTTTGTGTTTCATTTCTCTTTTTTATGTTTTATAGTTATTTTCTGATCCTGGTTCTTGGGGTCCTTCGGCTCTACTTGTTGGCTGGTTCATTGCCCTCACTATCTGCACCTTTTCCTCTAAGAGCAAAGCGTCCTGTTCTGCCTCTGCTTCACTGCCTCCCTCTTCAGGGCCTCCCCACAGCCTTGCCTCCACCTCCTCTCCTCTCACCTTGAGCAGCTCAACCTCCCTTTACCCTTCCTTGCCCAACTCACAATGAGTGTGTTTCTAGCATCCATTTGCCCCAGAGTCCACCCCTCTGGGGAATGGAGGAAGGTGGCTCAGGAGAAGACACATGCTCACAGCAGCTCCCAAGGAGCGAATCACCTAGAGGTTGAAGGTTTTGTCCTGGGGCCCTGCAGGTGCAAAGGAAGAGGGCATCATGCAGACTCCGGGTCTCTTCTGCCTCCATGATTCTTCAAGATCCAGCCTAGACACCCCCAGGTCATTTCACATGGTCCCAGTCAGACCAGCAGGGCACACATGAGCTTCCAAAAGGGGACTCTTCCCTCCTCAGATGCCTGGGAATGATTTGAGGGAGATGGTCACACAAGAGAGCCCTTATGGTCAAAGTAAAGCTGATATAGACCAAAAGGCAGAGCTGGGCTGCGAAGGTCAGCAGGAGATGCAGTGGGAGCCCAGGTGCCCTCCACTGGCCCGCAGAACCCACAAGCAGGCAGCATCCTGGGGAGAGTCCCAAGGGAATGGGGGAAGATTTCTCTGCTTTCTGACCCAGCCCCTTTCCCCTCCCTGCCCACAGCACATGTCCAGGAAGAATCCCAGTCTGGTGTCCAGGGTTTAGCTCCTGTCCTATCGATTAAGGAGGCTTCATGCTACTGCAAAAGTACACTGTACTCTGTTCTTCTATAGAATCCACTGCATAGAACAACAACCATCTCTGGGGACTATCAAATTTGGAAAATAGCTCTGAAAAATATGATGAGAGTTGAGCAGCAACTGACCTACAATGGGCTGTTCCTTCTCTGGAACTTCTCCTCTTCACACCATCTGCATCTCCCTGGGGTGACTATTATTATAAATCTGATTTTACTTTGGTTCTCTGTTGAAGATGATGCAATGCCTGATTTAGGACCTACTCCTTTATAATTGAAAGTAGAAGTTTCTTTTATTTTTAATTATAATATAATGTGGGGATGTAAGCTTTGGAATTAAAAACATAAAGGGCACATCAATCAATGAATTTACATCCCATCATCTCACCATGTTGAAAATTATTGAAAACTAAAAAGTGATAGCAACATTTTTAGGTCATAATATTAAATAATCAATGCAATTTCTATAAAATAATATTCATTGTAAGTGTATAGAATACTCTTTTTCAATATATTTCATTTACAACTCCTCTATTACATTTTTTGTTCCAATAACAGGGCATATCGGCATGGTATTATGCTGTGGGAACATATGTGAAGGTTTGCATTGGAAAATACAAAATCCTCCTGCATCTGTGTAAAGAGAAAAATCGTATTTCAGGTGAAGTTGACTACAACATAATATGGCTCATAGTGAATGCCACTGAAATCCCAACATACATTTTTTTTTACATATTTAATTTCATATGAGGATGTTTATTTATGTGAAAGAAAAAGAAAACACAATTGTTTAAATTTAAAAGAAAAAAATTCTCAGTAAGTAGTTTTAAAAATATTTTCAATCCCAGAAGGTGAAGGAAAAAAATCGTGGTGGAGGAAAACTTTGATTAAAACCAGACAGTTAGGTGGCCCTGCTGAATGCAGGAAATTCTAAAGACTCTGCTCACAAAGGAACCAATCCCTAAACAGAGATATGGGGCTTAAAAGATGGACACAGGAAGGCATCAACTAAGGGATGGATGTGAGTTCATATTGGCTGCATGTTAACGAGACAGGACTTTGTGCAGACAGAGGTCCACATACACCAGGGGAGGTTGGAAACAGTGCAGGCAAAAGAAGCAAAAAAATGTAATTAAAAGATTACACTGTTTCATAAAGTGAAAAAATTCATTTCTATGGCTCGGGGATAGAAACCTGAGCTCCTGCCCACAAGGCATCTGCTCCCCCACTGACTAACATCCCTCCAACATTCCCCAGACAAGCCCTGAGCCAGGCTCACCCAGGGAAGCCACTGTGGGATTCCTCAATCCCAGGAAGAGCAGGGAGAGTAAAATGTTCATAGCTTAGCTGCTGGGTTGGGCACTGTGCACGCAGTGCATGCACAGAAACAATAAGAAGTTGCATAAAGTATTGGCAGGACTTTATCTTCTATTGGCTGCATGAATAAACAGCATGCCACAGTGTGGACATGCACACTGAAGTATCATGCATAATACTAACCCATACACAGGAGGGCATGGATTCTAGAATTGAACAGTTTCTGACCTGTTCTTGGAGTCTAAATGTGATCCTGGATATGAGTTACTTCTGGAAAAATAAAGAGTTGTTCTTTTGTTTTCCCTTTCAAAGTTTGTCTTGTTGAAGAGTAATTTTTAAAGAAACCAGTTTTCTCTAACAGCTAAAAATAACCTTCAATAAGCCACTCCCTTTCCAGGCCTCCTCTCCCACAGCTGCACCTAGAGGCCTCCATATGCTACAAATACAAGAGGACGGAGCCTCCCCAGCCTGGGTACCTTCATGGACTTTGTGGAGCAGCCCCTGCC